GCGAGACTCCGTCTCAAAAAAAGAAAAAAGAAAAAAAAAATTTTTTTCAATAAATGTCTTAAAATTTAAAAGCAGGCTGATTAGTTTGGAACCAGACTACAAGTAGAGCTAACATTTGGTGAATAAGAAAACATCACACTACATTTTGGATGTATGAAAGAAAACTTGACCATTTGAAGATACATGAATAAAAAAAGTACTATAAATACTACTTTAGGAAAAAAAGAGAGTGATCTATAAATAAAAACATTTGACGTATTTGAAAACGTGTGGGTCTTGCATATGATTCACACGAGAAATCTAAAATTCAACCTAGCAATGGATAAGAATTAAGAATGGATGGTTTGGGCCGGGCGCGGTGGCTCACGCCTGTAATCCCAGCACTTTGGGAGGCCGAGGCGGGCGGATCACAAGGTCAGGAGATCGAGACCACGGTGAAACCCCGTCTCTACTAAAAATACAAAAAATTAGCCGGGCGCGGTGGCGGGCGCCTGTAGTCCCAGCTACTCAGGAGGCTGAGGCAGGAGAATGGTGTAAACCCAGGAGGCGGAGCTTGCAGTGAGCCGAGATCGCGCCACTGCACTCCAGCCTGGGCAACAGAGCGAGACTCCGTCTCAAAAAAACAAAACAAAACAAAACAAAAAAAAAGAATGGATGGTTTGGGCAAAGGACATTAACAGACATTGCTCCAAAGGTGATACATGAATGGCCAACAAGCACATGGAAAGATGCTTAACATTACCAATTATGAGGGAAATGAAGATCAAAACCACAATGAGATACCAATTCAAGCCCATTAAAATGTCTATTATCAAATAAACAGAAAATAACAAGCATTGGTGGACAAACTAGAACCCTCCTCCTGCACTGCTGGTAGGAATGTAAAATGTGGCATCCATTGTGGAAAATAGTATGGTGGTTCCTCAAAACATTAAACATATAGACTGGGTGTGATGGCTCACGTCTGTAATCCCAGCACTTTTGGTGGCCAAGGCGGGTGGATCACCTGAGGTCAGGAGTTCAAGATCAGCCCAGCCAATGTGGTGAAACCCCATCTCTACTAAAAATACAAAAATTAGCTGGGCGAGGTGGCAGGCGCCTGTAATCCCAGCTACTTAGGAGACTGAGGCAGGAGAATTGCTTACACCCGGAAAGCAGAGGTTGCAGTGAGCGGAGATCATGCTACTGCACTCCAGCCTGGGCAACAGAGCGAGACTCAGTCTCAAAAAAAAAAAAAAAAAAAAATTAAACATACAGTTACCTTATGCTCCAGCAATTCTACCACTTGGTATATATCCTAACGAACTGAAAGTAGGAACTGAAACATGCAATACTGGTTTTCTGTTCCTGCGTTAGTTTGCTAGGGATAATGGCCGCCAGCTCCATCCATGTTCCTGCAAAGGACACGATCTCGTTCTTTTTTTTTTTTTTTTTTTTTTTTGAGACGAAGTCTTGCTCTATTGCCCAGGCTGGAGTGCAGTGGCATGATCTCAGCTCACTGCAACCTCTGCCTCCCGGGTTCAAGTGATTCTCCTGCCTCAGCCTCCTGAGTAGCTGGAATTACAAGCAGGTGCCACCACGCCCAGCTTACTTTTGTATTTTTAATAGAGATGGGGTTTCACCATGTTGGCCAGGCTGGTCTCGAACTCCTGACCTCGTGATCCACCTGCCTTAGCCTCCCAGAGTGCTGGGATTACAGGCGTGAGACACTGCGCCTGGCCACGATCTCATTCTTTTTTATGGCTGCATAGTATTCCATTGTGTATATATACCATATGATAAGTCACTCTCACTTCAGTTGGCCTTCATGAAACACTGTGACAGACACAATGGCACAAAGTGTCTATCAGCATCGTTCTCCTCCTACCTCATTGACTGATCTTTGCTGCTTCCACTCCTTTGCATGACTTCCAAATATCAGAGGGCCTTAGAGCACAGCTCGTGCCTCTTCTCCTCTCCGCTTATAGGATATTCTCTGCCTAGTGATCTCCACCAGCCTGTGGTATAGACGCACCTGTGTGCTTGTGACTCGAAGATGCACACCTGGAGTCCTGAGCTCTATGCCCATATGTGAGTTCTCCACTTGGATGTCTAATGGTCATCTCAAACTTAGCATTTCCAGACCGAAAACCCCAAATCTGTTATTTCCCCAAAGCCCAAATCCGTAACTTCCCCTTGACATCTCTTCCCCAAATCCCTCCCTCACTGTGCTCTTGCCTTTCCCTCCTCCAACAAGCCAAACTTTTCCTAACTGCAGGGCCTCTGCAGGAACAGTTTCCTCTGCACAAAACTCTCTTCCCAGGACAGATCCTTTCACCTCCTCTGAGCCTCTGAGGGCCTCCTTTCCCACCTCTGCTTCTCACTCCTTCACATCAGTCTGTTTCATTTCCTTCATTGCACTTACTATCATCTGAAATTATGTATTGGTTTACTTATTTTCTCTCACACTTCATTTTTTTTTTTTTGACAGAGATTTGCTCTGTCACCCATGCTGGAGTGCAATGGCACAATTTCAGCTCACTGAAAACTCCGACTCCTGGGTTCAAGCGATTCTCCTGCCTCAGCCTCCTTAGTAGCTGGGATTACAGATGCCCGCCACAATGCTTGGCTAAGTTTTTTGTATTTTTAGTAGAGACGGGGTTTCACCATGTTGGCCAGCAACTGTGCCCGGCCTCACCCTTGATTTTTAATCTCCATGAAAGCAAGCACTAGGTCTTGCCTGGGCCTTTATCCATTGCAGTGAGCATAGCGTCTGGCACAGAGGTAGTTCTGAACATTAGTTATTGAATGAAATAAAATAATGAATGTGGGCCAGGTGCGGTGGCTCATGCTGGTAATCCCAGCACTTTGGGAGGCTGAGGCAGGCGGATCACAAGGTCAAAAGATCAAGACCATCCTAGCCTACATGGTGAAACCCCGTCTCTACCAAAAATACAAAAATTAGCTGGGCGTGGTGGTGCTCACCTGTAGTCTCAGCTACTGGGGAGGCTGAGGTAGGAGAATCGCTTGAACCCAGGAGGTGGAGGTTCCAGTGAGCCGAGACTGCACTCCAGCCTGGCGACAGAGGGAGACTCTGTCTCAAAACTAACTAACTAACTAACTAACTAACTAAATAAGTAAAATGAACGTAGGCCCAAGAAGAGTTGTGGGAAGAGGGTGATGTTTCTCCATAGACTTCTAAGGCTAAGAAGGAAAACAAACAGAGGTGCTGTGCACAAATCTACCCCCACCCCAACTGGGTCCCAACTCTGGCTCCCTGGCGTGGCACCATCACTGAAAGGCCCCGTTCCCGAAATCTCAGGGTATTCTTAGTCCCTCCTGTTCCCAGCACTGCCAATCCCCCGCCCACCCCCACCTTAGTTGCAAGTTCCAGCCTATCCGCCCCGCCCCTCCCCGCCCAGAAGCGGATGTGGTTTTTAGAGGAGTCCACCGGGCTTGGAGTCAGTGGCAATAATCAGGGGTAGAGCGGGGCGTGTCCCAGGGGTGAGCCCAGCTCTGCAGCCTTGTGCGCAGTAGAGAGCTGGTCTTAGGCTGGCACCATGGCCGATTTCAGGGTCAGGGTGTCCACCGGGAAGGCCTTCGGGGCTGGCACATGGGACAAAGTGTCTGTCAGCATCGTGGGGACCCAGGAAGAGAGCCCCCCACTGCCCCTGGACAATCTCGGCAAGGAGTTCACTGCGGGCGCTGTGAGTGCCTGGGAGTGGGTAGGGGTGGAGGTGAAGGGGGCGAGCAGGAGCGTCCGGCCTGACGCATACTAAAACCTCCCCTCAGGAGGAGGACTTCCAGGTGACGCTCCCGAAGGACGTGGGCCAAGTGCTGCTGCTGCGCGTGCACAAGGCGCCCCCAGCGCTGCCCCTGCTCGGGCCCCTGGCCCCGGACGCCTGGTTCTGCCGCTGGTTCCAGCTGACACCGCCGCGGGGCGGCCCCCTCCTCTTCCCCTGCTACCAGTGGCTGGAGGGGGCGGGGAGCCTGGTGCTACAGGAGGGGACAGGTGAGGGGCGGGCCAGGCTGGGGCTGCAGGGGGAGCACAGGAAGGGGTAGGGGACTGGGGGTTGGAGAGAAGGGCAGGTGAAGTGGAGAGGTGAGCTGGTGTGGCCACAGAATAGCCAGCAGAGGAGGGAGGCTAGTGGGGCCTTGGGGAGGGCGAGGTGGCAGCCTGGCGTAGGAGAAACTGTACTTATGGGAGGAGGGGACCTGGTAGAGGGTAGCAATCATGGGGACGGTGTGGCTGGGATAGTGATGGGGAGTTTCTCTCCCCGCCCCAACCTACTCCCCTTCTGCCACAGCCAAGGTGTCCAGGGCAGACCACCACCCCCTGCTCCAGCAACAGCGCCAGGAGGAGCTGCAGGCCCGGCAGGAGATGTACCAGTGAGGAGGGGGTTACTGTTGGGGGAGGGGGTGCCCAAGGGATGAGGGGCAGCTTGAGTGTCCTGGTCATGACAGAGATTAAAAGCCCCTGCCTCCACCTCTCCTATCAAAGCTGCTCCGGGACCAGCAGCATCTGCAGGAACGTATAGAAATGCAAATTCTCAGGCCACCTCCAAACTACTACACACTGAGGGTGAAAAGTGGGAATTTTTGTTTTGACAAGCCTTTCAGATGACTCTGGTGGCCACTGACGTTTGAAAAACACTGCTCTAGGGCCAGGTGCAGTGGTGGCTCACACCTGTAATCTCAGCACTTTGGGAGGCCGAGGCAGGCGGATCACCTGAGGTTTGTAGTTCGAGACCAGCCTGGCCAACAGGGCGAAACCCCATCTCTACTAAAAATACAACAATTAGCTGGGCATGGTGGCAGGCACCTGTAATCTCAGCTACTTGGGAGGCTGAGGCAGAAGAATAGCTTGAACTTGGGTGGCAGAGGTTGCAGTGAGCCGAGATCATGCCATTATACTCCAGCCTGGGCAACAGAGTAAAACTCGGTCAGAAAGAAAGAACAAAAGAATGAAAGGAAGGAAGGGAGGGAGGGAGGGAAAAGAAAAACTCCTCTAAATGCCTTACCTTTGCTGGTGTCTTCCTTGTCCTGGGACTTTTTCATGCATCATCTTGTTGTATCCTCCCAGAAATCTGAGCAGAGGAGAAACACACCTCTCAAGCCCCAGGAAACTCACCCTCCAGGGCTAGCAAGGGGTGAGATGGGGGCTCTTTCTGTGCTCTGGGCTCAGCACTGGAGGTCACAGGGGAAAACTGGGACTTGGAGATTGCAGAGGAGTTGGAGCCGCTAGTGAGGATTCCCTTGGCACAAAGCCCGGAACTGCACTCAAGAGCAGACTTTCAAAAGATCTTGATCTGGCCAACTCATCTGCCATCTAAAGCCTGGGCTGCAGGCTTTTGTTCCTGGTCTCTGGGATCAGAGCAGCCACAGGCTCATTTGGTTCCTGGTGATTCTCCATGTGTTGTGAATTCCACCCCTAAGGAAGCCATTGCACTAAATCTGCCAGCAGCAGCCCCAAGAGAGGGAATAGACATTGAGGTCTACTGTGTCCGTGGAGACCCAGGGTCAGCCTAGGCTCTGCCAGAACGAGCTGTGAGATCTTAGACCAATTATTTCATCTCTTTGATTCTTATTTTCTTCTGTAAAAGAAACTAAGAATACCAATCTCGTTTGGGTTAGGAGGAACAAATGAGAAAATGGTTAAGAATGTAGCTAGTCAGCTGCCAAGCCTTGCACAAATGTGTGCTCTTGCTGTTGTTCCTGTCTTTCAGTTAACTCTGTTCCAACACTCTAGGCTCTTATAATACGTACAGTGAGGCCTCAGATCCATAGCAACAGCATTGCCTGGGAGCTTGTTAGAAATCAGAATCTGCATTTAACCAAGATCTCTAGGTGAGAGGGATTAAAGTCTGAGAGGCACGGTTTGGCCACCACCTGGCGGCAGTGTACTTTAATTGCAAATTTTTCTTTGAAGTTGAAAGCTCAAACCCAAAAGCAAGGTTTGAATGAATCAAAGAATGAATGAGTGAGAGGATGACTGGCTAGGGGTCATCAAGTTTGCAGAGCCATGGTTTTACCATTTTGCTGGAAGGTCTTCGGCTGTGTTGCTTGTTTGAGAATAGAATTTAGAGATGCCTTAGGCGGCTCCCCCTAAGCCTTAACTGTGGAGGCTGAATTGCCTCTCTATGGGACGCCTACCAAAGGCAACTGAAACCTTCCGTGCAGCCCCTGTCTCGGGATAATCTCCCCTCTACAAGATGCATCTGTGTTAGTCGGGACTTCTATAGTTGTAAGAACAAAAGCTAACTCCAACTAGCACGCAGAAAAAAAGAGTTTGTCAGCCAGACACAGGGGCACTTACGGAAACACAGGCAGGAATTGTCCACCCAGTGGAAAATGGCCATGGCTAACAGTCTGTATTTACTGCTGTAATCCACATATCCAGAGAGAGACCACCTCTCAGGCTCAGCCCCAATTTCAAACTCCCTGGAAAGGACTCGGATTGGTGCAGTTCTAGTCAGGTGATCAACTCTGGACCAATCACCCTTGACCAGGGGAGCCAGCTCACTGTGGGAAAATGGCAGCTCCCTCGCAGCCTCGTGTAGAATGGAGGGGCAGATGCCAGGAGGGCCCTCCTTGGCTGAAGGGGTCTGGCTCTGACCAGGGCACCCAAGGGGACTGCCACTCCATCTAACCTAGTGAAGGGGCTCCCTGAGGCCTCTTGCTGACCACTTTCCCTCTCTACCCTCCAGGTGGAAGGCTTACAACCCAGGCTGGCCTCATTGCCTGGATAAAAGGACAGTGAAAGACTTGGACCTCAATATCAAATACTCCACAGCCAAGAATGCTAACTTTTATCTACAGGCTGGCTCTGCGTGAGGATGCCCTGCCCCTAGGCCTCAGATGCCCTATGACCCCTGCCTTCTGCCCTCCCCTAGTCAGTTCCACCACCCTCAGTGATATGAGTCACATAGTCCTATCCAGGAAACAGCCTCCTAGCCACTGCCAATCCCCCAGAGCAACAGCTACCTTAGGGGCGGTGACTATCTTAGGCCTAAAGGCTGGTTCAGGATCCCAAGAGGCATAAGGCTGGCTGACAGGGAAGAGTCTCCCAGGGCCTCCTGCCCACTCCCCACCCCTCACATCCCCTGGCAGGTTTGCAGAGATGAAAATCAAGGGGTTGCTGGACCGCAAGGGGCTCTGGAGGAGTCTGAATGAGATGAAAAGGATCTTCAACTTCCGGAAGACGCCAGCAGCTGGTGAGGAGCTTGGGCCAGGGATCCTGACCTCTTTCCTGGGGCATCAACTCCTGTAGCTGTCCACAGTGTCAGAAAACCAAGCACCAATTTGCTATGTAACCCTGAGCAGGCCCTTGCTAGACCTTACTTTTCCCCACAGAGACAAAAGAGAATATGGACGGAGGGGACCCCTGACCTTCTAACACCTTCTAATCCAACAGACATTTGTTGAGCTGCTACATATCAGACACCGGGTTAGGGGATGCATGGTTCTTCACGGGCTCACAGTTGAGCAGGCCAGTTGGTGTTAATTAGACTCAAAATCAAATAATTCGTTACACTGTGAAACATGCTCATTGGATCCAGTGGGTGTGTAAAGGGGGGCACCTGCCGTACCCTGGAGAGGGCCCCAGGAAAGCTCTCCTAAGGGGGTGAACTATGCTGAGACCCCGAAGTTGAGTAGGCCTTAGCAGTGCCAAGGATGGGCTGTGGGGGCAGAGAGCAGTTCGGGGAACAGTGAGTGTGAAGGCCCTGAAGACAAAAGGATCAGCCATCTTCAGAGGAAAGAAAACACCATTGTGATCAAAGTGCAATGAGCAAGAGAAGGAGGGTGAGAGAAGGAGCAGGAAGGTGCACAGGGGTCGCACAGGACTGTGTCGGCCACGGCAGGACTTGGGTCTTTCCTCAGCCCAGTGCTTGATTGGTTACCAGCAGGGGAATAATGTGGTCACTATGCACTGCTCGGGGGGAGTTACTGGGGGGGGTGGCAAGAGGCTATGAGAATCTGCTATGAGGCTCTGGCTGTGGTCACCAGAGGACGGTGGCCTCAGCAAGGCAGTGGCAATGCATTGGAGTGGACGGGTGGACTGAGGTACTCAGGATGGAGAATCAATGGGATATGATAGGTTGGAGGTGCTGCCAAGAGAGGTCCCCAGGCTCCAGCTGGGCGTGGTGGCTCACACCTGTAATCCCGGCACTTGGAAGGCCCAGGTAGGTGGGTTGCATGAGGTCAGGAGTTTGAGACCAGGATGGCCAACATGGCAAATCCCCATCTCTACTAAAAATACAAAAATTAGCTGGATGTGATGGCACGTGCCTGTGGTCCCAGCTACTACTCAAGAGGCTGAGGCCTGAGAATTGCTTAAGCCTGGGAGATGGAGGTTGCACTAAGCCGAGATAGCCCCACTGCACTCCAGCCGAGCAAGAGAGTGAGACCCTGCAAAGAGAGAAAGAGAGAGAGAAGAAGGAGGAAAGAAGGAAGGGAGGGAGGGAGGGACGGAGGGAGGAAGCCGAGGCAGATGGATCACTTGAGCCCAGGAGTTCAACACCAGTCTGAGCAACATGGAGAAACCCTGTCTCTACCAAAAATACAAAAATTAGCCAGGCATGCTGGTGTGTGCTTGTAATCCCAGCTACTTGGGAGGCTGAGGCAGGAGGATCGCTTGAACCCAGGAGGCAGAGGTTGCAGTGAGCCGAGGTCGCACCACTGGACTCCAGCTTGGGCAACCCAGCAACACAGCCTATCTTGGAAAAAAAAAAAGAAAGAAAGGAAAGAAAAGGGGAAAGAAGAAAAGAAAAAAAGAGGTCCCCAGTCTCCTCTGTAGGCAACCGGGTGGGGATGGATCTGCCATTTCCCAAATATCAGGCAATGGGACCAACCTGAGCTGTAGGAAGAATCTGTATTTGGTCTCCAACATGTTGCATTTGAGTTATCCAGGGCGGGTGTTAGGCAGACACTGGGATGGATGGGCTGGGGACTCTGATGTGCTGTTGGATGAGGAGGCAGTGACTGAGGACAAGGGGCAGGGGAGGTAATCCCGAGGACCCACTGTGAAGGTTAGGCAGAGGCCTGTGGGAGCTGGGGTGACCCCGTCCCCGTGTCCCCCACCCCCTGCAGAGCACGCATTTGAGCACTGGCAGGAGGATGCCTTCTTCGCCTCCCAGTTCCTGAATGGTCTCAACCCTGTCCTGATCCGCCGCTGTCACTACCTCCCAAAGAATTTCCCCGTCACTGATGCCATGGTGGCCTCAGTGTTGGGCCCTGGGACCAGCCTGCAGGCTGAACTAGAGGTGAGGGGTGCAGGGATCCAGGCTCTTCACAGTCCCATCTCAGTGCCTTCGCACCCTTCCCCTATTGGAGACAGAGGGACGCACTCACATTTGTTAGGGACCTACTGTGTTCTGCGTGCCAAGCACACTCTCCCGAAACACACTCCTCTCCCAGCCCTGAATCCTCTCCCTTCTACCACCCCACCCCCTTCCTTTAGAAAACCAGGTGGTAGCCCCAGCTGTCCTTTATTCTGCAGAAGGGCTCCCTGTTCTTGGTGGATCACGGCATCCTCTCCGGCATCCATACCAATGTCATTAATGGGAAGCCCCAGTTCTCTGCGGCCCCAATGACCCTGCTATACCAGAGCCCGGGCTGCGGGCCGCTGCTGCCTCTCGCCATCCAGGTCTGCAGTCAGGCAGGGGCAGGGCAGGGGCGAGGAGGGTCAGACTGAATGATTGGCAGACACTCATGGCTGTCTCTCTCCCCACCCGCCTCCCCCCAGCTCAGCCAGTCCCCCGGCCCCCACAGCCCCATCTTCCTGCCCACTGACGACAAGTGGGACTGGTTACTGGCCAAGACCTGGGTGCGCAATGCCGAGTTCTCCTTCCATGAGGCCCTCACACACCTGCTGCACTCACACCTGCTACCTGAGGTCTTCACCCTGGCTACCCTGCGCCAGCTGCCCCACTGCCACCCTCTCTTCAAGGTCAGTGGCTTGACAAGGTGGCCCGGCCTGTGCCCATGCCTCTGTACCTCTTCTAAGCAGCCTTTCCTCACATGGCCATAACCGTGCAAGCTGGGCTGCAGGGCTCCCCCGTCCGCTTCACCACAACTCCCCCGGGAGCCTGCTCTCCAGCAGGCCCTGAGTAAGATAATGAGGTACCCCGGAGAGGCTCCCTTCTTCAGGGAGATCAGATGGCATCAGCAGCCATCATAGAAGCCCAAATCTTAGGAAGGGAAGGACCTGGGGGTGGCAGGTGCCAAAGTGTGAACACGGCTTTGAGAGACTGATAGGTTTTCCGCAGATAGTTCTGGGATGGGGGAGGGCTGGGTGGGAGGCCCCTGTGCTCTAGGGTGGGTTCTATAGGTTTCCTAGACCCTGCTAACTTTCAGGCGGCATGGATTCGAGGCATCTCCTCTGCGAAGGGCAGGATGACTCCCTCCCAGGGTTTACCCACAGCCGCCGCTCAAATACTCTGATCCTTCTAGACGTCTCCTGGGTCCCGGATGTGGGCCCTACTCTGTGCTCTTACATCCTATCTGGTTGTTTCTGACTATCTGCAGCTTCTGGGGCCTGGCACTCAGAGGTGGGCTCTGGTGGACGGCTCCACCTTGCCAGGCCCACAGGCCCTGGTTTTCCTAGTGCCTTCCCCGCCCAGGGGCTAGGAAATCACAGGATGCCAGAGGCAGAAGACACAGGGCTCAGCCACATCAGCACCAGCATTTGACAAAATGCCTGAGGCTCAGGGAGAGGAAGGAGCACACCTGAGCTCCCAGAACAAGCTGCTGGTGGAGGCCAGCAGGAACTCCAGGGCTCAGACCCCTGTCCCAGGCTGCCTCCTCTCATTCCTGTTGCTTCTTTCCAAGTGACTTGCAGGGCTGGTGCCTTTGTGGGGGAAGGTCCGGGGCCAGAAAGACCCAGGCCTCCCCCAGCTCTGCTGTTCCTGCCACGCAGCTGCTGATCCCGCACACCCGGTACACGCTGCACATCAACATGCTCGCCCGGGAGCTGCTAATCGTGCCGGGCCAGGTGGTGGACAGGGTGAGAGCTGTGTTGGGGTGGGAGTGGGCAGGCCACTCCTTCAATGTGAGGAATTTGAGGTCCTGGGGTAGCAGTGGCCTGTCTCCCCGGCACCAGTGCTACCTCCTGCTTCTGGAGCAAGGTCTGCAGGACCCAAGAGTCCTGTCCGTCAGTCCACAGGCATCGGCATCGAGGGCTTCTCTGAGTTGATACAGAGGAACATGAAGCAGCTGAACTATTCTCTCCTCTGTCTGCCTGAGGATATCCGGACCCGAGGAGTTGAAGACATCCCAGGCTACTACTACCGTGATGATGGGATGCAGATCTGGGGTGCAGTGGAACGGTGAGGGGCCGTCCCTGGAGAGCCGAGGGCTGGTCAGGGACACGGGAAGACAGAGAAGGAGACTGAGGCCCCAGGGAGGCTCACGTTGAGGAGGAGGGCCAGA